TCACGTGGAGGGCGGCTGGTGTGGATTCTGGGAGCAGGGACTTGCGGTGGTCATCTGCGTCGCATGTAAGTGATTTCTCCCCAAATAAAATCATGTTAATCTGTATTTGAGCCCGTCCCGTGAATCCTGTGCTTCTTCAGGTGGGGTTTCGAGAGAAGGAGGGAGAGACAGGAATGGGGCTTTCTGGATCATAAATCATGCAGGAGTGAGCCTGGGGTTCCAACTGCACAAGTGGGGCCTGGTGGGACATGGGGTCTGTGCCTAAAGCCACCAAGTAAACTTCTCAATGGCAATGAGGCCCCAGAAAGAAAATCCCAGCACTTGGGAAGCTGAGGCAGGAGGATTGTGACTTTCAGGTCAGCCTGGGCTACAGAGCCTGCTTTAAAAAGAGAAAGAAAAAGATGGGGGAGGGGGGAATAAAAGGCACCCACTCCAACAACTATTCTGCTGTTGTATAATATTGAAGGAGAGAGAATAAGCTAACCCTAAGCTCTTTCTCAGTGACATATACCATATGCCTCTGATCTTCTTTTCTTTTTCTCTTCCGTTTGTTTTTTCTTTTTCTTTTTTTCTTTTTCTTTCTTTCTTTTTTTTTTTTTTTAGACAGGTTTCTCTGTGTGGCTGTCTTAGAACTCGCTCTGCAGCCCAGGCTGGCCTTGCACCTGCCTCTGCCTCCCAAGTGCTGGGATTAAGGCCGTGCACTGACACACCCTGCTGCTGTGTTTCTTCATTTGACTTCACAACTACAGTTGGTTTTGAAGCTCGCTGCTTTGTGCATTTAAGTGCATTTTTCTACATATACATAATACATTAGGAGACTTTTATGCCAGCATGGTGACTTAAGCCTGGTATCCCAGAACTTGTGAGATGGAGGTGGGAGGGTCAGGGGTTTAGTGAGTTTGAGACCAGCCTGGACTGTGTGAGATCCTGTTCCAAAAGAACCAAATAGTAATAAGAACTACATAGCTTATGTTTACATAAGAAATTCTCGATTAGATGTGTTAAGGTAACAGTGTACAAAATGGCAGGCATTTGCATGCCTTTAGACATAGCCACTCAGGATGGCTGAAGCAGGAGTACCCGAGCCCACTTTAGCAAACTCTACTTTAGACTCTGAAGAGATGATTCAGTTTGCTCCTAAAATCATGTTCATACGCAATTTGAAATAATAAGGTGTGATCTAAACCTGAAAAGGCCTTCTAGCCGTATCTGGGGATAAGTTAGTATTGTAGCGAGATTTTGCAGAAAGAGGTCTTTTTAGGCATTTTGTGTGTTTGTGTCCCGTGTTGTTCAATCCCTTTCTAAACACCACTTGGGCTGTCATTGCCCTTTGGGAGTTGCACAGCACTTAGCATGCATTGTCCCCTAGAGAGATCACAACAGCAAACAGAGACACGAATTCACTCTTGGGGTAAAACAGAAATTAATTGGAGAAGAGAGAGTCTATAATTTAAGGCGTAGTTAGCCGTGGGAGGAGGGTGTAGCTTTCACATTGGCTGACTTTTGTGCCAGCCGTCACAGAACTGCTGTCTGCTCAGCAACCGGGCCGCCCGTGTCGTATTTTCATGCGTTTATGTATTGTGATGTAAGCTCTGAACCTTCCTCTGCATTGTCTCCCGCTTGCTCCACACCCTTCATCTGTCGGCGTTTAAATTCAGGGTTGAGCTTTTGAAAGAAATACTCCACAGCAGATGAATTGTGCTTTTGCTGCAGAGATCCTGCCACATGGATTACAAGCTCTGTTTCTCCATGCTTGAATAAACTCCATCAAAAGCACATTATCCTCCACGGCTGTGGCCAGCTGCCTAATTGTATCTGCTGTAAGCACGCGCTGGTGGAACATGATACCGGAGAGGAACAGAAATGATGAATTACCCCCTGCAGGTGATAGTGATCATGATGGTTTTTAATTTCCCTCTTCCTCATACAGTCTAGAGTCTAGACTGGCTTCCTTTCATTGGCTGCCATCTTCTTCCATGCACACATGGGCGTCCCCTTCGTAAAAGGACCCACCGCACTGACACACATGGGAAAGGCATTTGTTTAATTCTAACTCAGCATTAAAAAATGCGTGAACGTAAAAGGAACTGCTTACTTTTATGCATACAAAGTAAACAAGCAAAAATAGGACTTAACTTCTTAGTGTTATTTTCTTCCTCTGTGGCACCCACAAGAGACATGAACAGTTCCTGCTTAGAACAGTGTTCTCAACAAAAAAGCCACAGGCTGACTTTACTTCCCTAGGTGCCTCGAATGTCAGGCTCAGAAGATTCTCAGCAGTGCCGGGAGTGGCCGCCTGCCTGCCACTCAGCCTCCCGTGCTGTCCTCTGTCACCAGTATCCATCTCACTTCTTGCTGTGGTGTTGGTGGCTGCCCCTTCCCCTCTCTTGACCTCAAGAGTCTGGTAGCTCAGGCTTCCCTGTGACATAGCTGGGGAGGGGGAGTAACTGTCCCCCTGACTTTGGAGATTAGATTGGCCAGCTACTTTTCATACTTGATTTTCATACCCTTTCCTCCCAAGCAGCCCCTGCTGCTGCTGCTAACAAGATACTTAAGGGGAACTAACAGAAGCGTTCCTGTCTCCTAAGTTACCTGTTCTCCTGCTATTACCTAGACGTCGTAGTTTCCCGTTCTGTGGCGGTAGTCAACTCTTGTGTCTGAGTGACTTCCAAGGGGAGAGATCCAGTTCACTGAAATTAGTGCTTAGAGCCAGATGTGCTGGTGCACACCTTTAATTCCAGCACTCAGTCTCAGGAAGTTTGCTTTTTCCAGTGTCTTCTGATAGATGCAAAAGAAGAGTGGGTGGAACAGTCTGGAACGTCCCAGCACCAGAGTTGCCCTTGTCACAAAGGCAGTGTGAGCCACTATCCGAGCACATAGATGCACCCACCAGTCTGAATGCTCCCTGAATCTCCTTTAAGGGTTTTTAATGAGGGTTCTATTGTGTGGGCATGACTGATTTTAGTACTTGACTCAGTCCCTGGTCCTTTCTCTCTTCCCAAAGGAAGATTGTACCTGGCCGTTTTCCTTCTTTCCTAAACAAGAAGCCTTAAAACAGACAAAAACAAAAAACAAAAACAAACAAACAAACAAAAAAACCCACACATAGTAATAAATCATTGTGGGTCATCAGTGATTTAATCAGTTATCTTAACTACATATAGCTAGCTACCTGAGCTTGAGAGATAGGGAACTAGAAATGTCTCTAAGAATGTTTGAGAGCTATAGAGAATGGTGCTGGGTGAGAATTCTAGAAATTTGAGCTATGCCTCGGGCTTGCTCTTAGACCAGACTGCAGTCTGCTAGGGCAGAATGTGATCAGTGTGATAGTATAGTCAAGTTGTGTCTACTCAGTGCCACCCAGAAAATCTTTATTGCGATGCTGTGGGCCAGGCCCCAGGAATGCAATGGTAAAAAGGGCAAGCAGGCAGAAACGTACTTATGAAAGCAACTGGCTTCATCTGTGAAGGTGCCGTAATTATTTGAGACACAGGGATTTGTCTCTGGGATAGTCTGTGTCTGAGAACCTCTGCTTTGTTTGGCAGAAGTATCAATGGTATTTCCCTTCCCTCATGATGTCTAAAATGTAATGAACTTCAAGGTTAAGTATTGGATTTACTTTGGACTCAATGTGAATTAGCCCCCCCCACCAAGATCAATAAAATTCCGCATTCTTTGCAAAAGCAGCAGAGCACACAAATTGGCCTGTTGGTGAATTTGCAATAATCAGTGTCTTGTTTTTAGCACTCCATAAGCTTAATTTAATGCCAGTAGTGAAAACAGGTTAAGTCCACCTAGCCCATATGAAAGAAAGGACAATGGTAGCGTTTTAAACAACAAAGGTGGAATTGGACGGCAGAGGTGTCTTGGTGGTTAATGGCAGGAACTGGTCTTGCCTAGGATCCAGGTTCAGTTCCCAACATCCACATTCAGCAGCTCACAACCCCCTGTAACTCCAGTTTGGGGGATCTTTGCTCCTTCTGGTTGCCACAGACGTTAGGCGCACAATATTGAAATGACTCAGATAAGGCCACGCTCCATTTTGTATTTGCTTAGACAGTTCTCAGCTCTCTGCCCGCCCCCCTCCACGGTCCCTTCTGCTTTGGCATGCATTTGACATTTCTATTGCCCTGACTATGGTCCAGATGTATTAACCAAAGTAATTGGCAAGCTATATCTAAAGTAACTGCTGTCCCCTGCCAGGAATGAACATGTCAAGGTTACCGTGACCCTCACTGAATTCTGATGTATCTTTGTGGTGTTTGCCTTTAAAATGCTGTGCCCTTGAGCATGGTCACCAGGAGACTTCAGAGGTTCAAGCCCACCTTGGTCTGGCCATCAACAAAAAAGACTTTTATTTGGGTACTATGATTTATGCTCATTATATTTTAATAATAAATAGTTAACATTTAACAATTGTCTCTACTGATCCCATCACAAAACTATTGTAATTTGCTCTGAAGTTGGGTGAACTAGCTTCTCCTCTAACCCAAACCAAACTGTAGCCATGATCTCATAGATCCGTGCTTTGTTTTTGTGAGTACTGTCTGGACTGCACGCGGACTCTTCAGGTCTTTCCTAGCCTGTCCTCTGCTGCAGATGCCTGAAGTCTGAGGAGAGCTGGAGGGTGCAGGATGGCTGCCTTTGCTGTCTGCCACCTCTTCAACCAGTCTTCAGCAGGCTAGCTGGCCTGTGTGTCTAGCCTCGTGCCTTGGATAGTCTGGCTTGGCTGTTTCCCTCATAAGCAGTTATTGATTGATTGGTTGATTGATTGGTTGATTGATTAGCCTTGTTACCCTTATTATCACACTGGTCTATGGGGAAAAGCCAACTATATTCTTTATTTTACTTACAGCTTGTTTTCCTGGAAAAATAGTGATGGGTTAGGTTTGTGAGTCTTTCAAACAGTTTCTAATTGGTCAAGTCTTAAAAGGCTGAGTAGTTAGTGATTGCATCATGTAATTAGTTTAATAATCATATATATATTTTTTAAATCACAGGCAGTCGCTGGGTACTTTGATATATATTTTGAGAAGAATTGCCAAAACAGGGTAAGTATCATGAGTTATTCATAAGGATTAATTATGCAGAGCGCTCTGTTTGATTTGTGCCCCAAGGTGTTTGATCAGAAACATTTTGCTGTTGTAAGCACTTGCAGCTTGTATTTGATATAGTAGACTAATGTACCGTGATATTAAAAATCGGGTACTTCATCAGCTACTTCTGAACTTTACCAATGCAGGTCGTGTTCTCTACGGGCCCTCAGAGCACCAAAACACACTGGAAACAGACAGTGTTTCTGCTGGAAAAGCCATTTCCAGTTAAAGCAGGTGAGAAGCATTGCCTTCGGCCTGGGGGAGTGGTGGTCACTCACTCGTCACTGGGAGAGCATAACAGATGCTGAAGTAGGAGGTCCTAGAGCTGCCTGCCTGTGGTGTTTAAAGTATTTGAGTGTTTGACCCCAAGTGTGTGTTAGGGGGTGTAGAGATGGCTCAGCTATTCTTCCAGGGAACCCAACTTCATATCTGGTGGCTCACAGCCACCTATAACTCCAACACCAGGGGACCCAGTGTTCTCTTCTGACCTCCGTAGACACCCACATACATAGTATACACACACGCGTGCACACACACACACACACACGCACGCACGCACACACGCACTTGCAGATACATGCACAAATAAGTTAGTTTTAAAATCTATGTTTTAAGAAAACATTCAATTTTAAGTCTTAGTTTTGTTGATTGTTTGGTGTTTTGTTTTGCTAGGGATTAAACCTGTAGTTTCACATGTGCTAGGCAAGCTTTCAACCGTTGAGTAACATGGTCAACCTTTAAGTCTAATTTTTATCTTCTAAAATAAATAAAGAATATTATGTACCTCAAAACTAACACAAGGTAATTTAGAAAAAAATTAAGTTTTATTTTATGTGTGTGCTACTTTGTTTGCATGTATGTATGTGTACTGCATACATGTGTGTGCCTGTGGAGATAAGAAGAGGCCTTTGGACACCTGGGACTGGAGTCACTGGTGGTTGTGAGCCACCGTATGGTGCGTAGACCCAGGTCCTCTGCAAGAACAGCCAATGCTTTTAACTCTGAGCCACTCTCTGGCCTGCAGAAAGGGTTTCTTTAATCGGTAACTAGTATGTAATAACATGCATATATGACTAAGAGAGAATGGTTTATTTCCTAAGTGATTAAGCCACCACTATCAGCAGTAGAGTGTGTGAGACTCACTCAGCAGTCACTGTAGAGGGAAGGAGGGGACTGTGTTGAAGCTGGAGGCTGTCGTTCTGAAGTGTTGTGGCTTCAGCTTTCCCACACACATGTATATAAATAGTTACACTTGTAAAACTGCGTGTAAACGGGGTGTCGGAAGAGTCCTTTACAGCCTCTCATTCTGATTACCTGTCTGACACACATTTGTTACTGTTTTTGAGACAAGGTCTCACTCTACAGCCCAGGCTGGCAATCCTCCTGTCTCAGCTCCCTGCATGCTTATGCTCTACCTCGTCTTCCATGGTGCTGCCGTATTTACTTACTCATCTTTTTTCTGCCATCATTTAGCTTGTTTTCACGTTTCTCATTTCTGCAAACCGTGTGTTGAGAGACTGTTGAGAACACCAGGAAAGGTGTGTGGAAGGGACATGGAGAGTTGTAGTGTGCAGCAGCAGGAGCGTGAGCTCTGTTACGACAGATAGAAATGGCTCTGGACGGTTGTTCAGACTTAGCAGGCTGCAAAGGGGTTCAAAGTCAGAGATGCTCAATGCCATTTTAAAACTGAGGAATCCAGTATTAGGAGTTGATGAAGCCAAGTGGGGACTGCATATCACCATTATGCTAAGCTCTGTATCCTGTTTCCCAACACTCTGAGACGGCTTGCATTGCGCTGTCGCTGCATAAATCGAGTGTAGGTGCAGATGAGGCCATTAGAGGAAAGCTGCATCTCGCCAGCCCGTCACTTCAGATTTCAGAGCTGCCTGTGGGAATGAGGCCTTGATAGTGTCATTTTCTCCAAGGCAAGCTGAAACCCGCACGGCACAACTGACCCGAGACTAAGAGGCCTGGGCTTTCCTTGTAGCTTTGCCTTCACTTTTGCAGCTCACGTTGACCTTGCATGAAAACTTGAAGGTCTTTCCTATAGCCATCTTGTCATCTCAACGCTAGAACTTTAAAACAGGCCTGCCCACCTCGTGTCTTAGACTTGGGAGATGAAAGATGCCCTTTGAGCTTGCTCCTCCCAATTCTCTCTTCTGGCTCCATGACTCTCTTCTCGTTGATGACGGGTAAGAATTCGAAACTCTGCCTGCTCTTCTGGGCTTTGGCTGTGTGGTGAAGCAGGCTTGTGATGCTAAGCCCGCCCTCTAGCCCCACCAGCTTAACACCCTTTCATGGATCGAGGCTACACGTTTGTCGTAGGGCAGAGGTCTAAGCAGGACAAGCAGGCCTGACAACACCTCTAACCCTCTAGAAGGCTGGTGAAATAGCAGACAGACAAACCCAAACACCGCACGTCATGACTCCGCTGGCTCTTGGAGGTTGTGAAGTTCCATAACCAAAGTGCTGCTCTTATGAACTGTATCATTCAGTAGGGACTCAAGAAAGGCCAGCCCTTTGTGCTGGGAATGTGTCCTCCTGGTTATGTGCACGCACCCAGCAAAGCATCGGGGTGAACCTCCGAGGGGACTAAATTACAGGAAGCACTTTATAAGGGGAATGATGAAACCTGACACTCCCCATGAAGTCCTTGATAGCTGGCATTTGCTCAGACACCAAATGCAGGGGAAAGGGGGCTCATAAAGACCCAGGAATGGCAGAATTAGCACATTGAAGTAAGTCTGCTTTCCACATGAAATGAGTGGGCGAGAAGACACTACACGTGAATGTCACTGTAGGTGGACAGAGGTGTCTTAGAGGAAGGCTGTGGGTTAGTAGCCGAACAGTCATTAAACTTGACAGTCAGTGAAAGTGCTTTAAAAATGAGGTGTGTGTTGGCAAATGCCTAAGGTAGATGTGTGGGTGGTTAGGGTCATCCCCTGCTTCATAGTGAGTTCAAAGCCAGCCTGAGCTACAAGAGACCCTGCCTTGAAGAAAGTCTCTTAAGGATAGATAAATAGATGGATAATAGTTAAATAGATAATAGATTGATAGATGATTGTGTGAAAGAGATGATAGATTGATGGATATTGACAGCTGGTAGATGTCAAAATGAGGGGGAGATTTAACAAAAAAGCTTTGAGTTTCTCATTGTGTAGGGAAATTCTAAGTGTCCTGTCCTCAGTTAATAATGGGTCCCTTAGAGAAGCGGGAAGAAGAGGCATAGGACAGAAAATAGTCATGACATAATAGACAAACTTTCTACACTTGATAACTAGAACCCACAGATTGAAGTTATTAAAAGTTAAGTAAGATAAACACACACATAAAACAAATAGCATAAATTGCTGACCAACAGATTGAACAAAATACCTCTATAAGCCAGACAAAAAGAAAATATTACATAGAGAAAATGAATACAGAAGAGCCTCAGATCCACATCAGAGGGCTGACAAGATGGCTCAGTGGATTCAAGTTCTTGTTGCCAAGCTTGACAGTCTAAATTCAACCCCTGAGACCCATGTGTAGAAGGAGAGGCTCAACTCACAGCTGTTGATCTTTGCGTGTGTGCACATACACATTGATAAATGTGTCCACGTACATATATTAAGTAAATAAATAAATGGATATAGTTTTTAAAAGGAAAACAATGTTTGAGACCTGTACATTTAGAACTACAGAACATTACTGAGGGAAATCGAATGCTAAATGAGTGGAGAGGTGTGCTGTGTGGTGGGTACGTTCTCTGTACCATACACAAAGACTCACACTCTTAGTGGACTGGAGGTGCCATTTGGTTTTAACAGAACTTCTGTTACATTTTATTTATTTGTGTATATGGGTGCACAAGTAACACAATACCCGTGTGGCAGGCAGAGGATAGTTTAGGGGAGTTGGTTCCCGCTGTCCACAGTGTGGGTCCCAGGGATTGAATTCGAGTCTTCACTCAAGCTTGCTGGCAATGCCTTTACCTGCTGAACTAATACCAGACCTGGACATGTAAATTTAAAGGCATTAAAGTGTAAAACACATGGTCAGCAGATCATCTTTTGAGACTCTTGGGGTGGCAGACTTATGAAAATGAATGTTGGCAAGACTCTGAACTGTATATGACATCAAAATGTTTAAACTCCCTTGTTGGACAGTTCCGTCCAAATGAAATTCAGACTTTTCCCAAAGCTGCTTCTAAAGAAATCCTGTCTTTCCTTCTACCCAGCTTCCCTCTTCCAGGGCCCCCATGCTCCAACTACATTTTCTGGTTGGAGGCTTGTGGTGCTTGGAGATCAAACCCAGGCGTCACAGATGCCTTGGCAAACGCTCTACCGCTGAGCTGTATCCCTGCAGCTCCTAAGCTGGTCATTTCTGAGCTCACTGTCCTGTTTTCTTAAGAGCTTCTTTGGACTTATTCAAGATAGTCTTCTACATATGCAGCGGGTGTGGCATCTCTGTTGAGGGCCTCTGCAGCTCTGCTTGCTTTTGCTTTTGGGAGTCTCACTGGTTGTCCTCAATCATGGCTCCTTACTCTCTTCTCCAGGTCAGCTTGTACGTAATCGTCTGCTGCTGCGTCCCTTTAGGCTGTGTTAGTTCTAACGGTATAAGTTTGTGCCACCATTTGCTGTGCGGAGTTCTAATGGCATAAGTCCGTAGCATTTTGGTTTTATCTGTTTATATGTTTGGCATATCAATATTGCTGTGCTGAGGGACTACAGTAAATGAAGAATCACTCGCTTAAGTTCAGTTCTTCTGTCACTTAAGAGGTGGCACCATGCCAAGGCACTTAGTTCTGCTGTGTGCTTAGGGACCTCACTGTGTTGCTGGACTTGAGCAGGTTGCTTGGATTTTATTTGCATGACTGAAAAGTATTTTCTGTGCGTGATTTTATGCATTGCAGGATTTTCAGGTAGAGTTTGAGCCAAGAGGCTATTTTGGAAATTTTACAATACATGAATTTTGGTATCCGTGATGAAACATGCAAGATGTATGTTTGTTTGTTTGTTTGTTTGTTTGTTTGTTTGTTTGTTTGAAGCAGGGTCTCAAGTAGCCCAATCTGTCCTTAAACTCACTGTACTTGAGGGTATCTTAACTTCGGACCCTTTTGCCTCCTTGAGTGCTGGCATTACAGGTGTGCACCACCATACCTGTGTGATGTCAGCTCTACATTACAGGTGTGCACCACCATACCTGTGTGATGTCAGCTCTGGTTTCTCTTCATCTCTTTCCTGCTCTCAGGCCCATGTTACAGATGAACACTGTAGGCTAGACTGTGAAGTGTGCCATTCTAGACATCACAGGTTCACACGGACACTAAAATGCACTCGTCAAACATGGTGTACACATAGCCATGCAGTTACTCTGCTTGGAGTGTTTACGTGTGCATGTGTCTGTATGTCTGTGCTTATATCTTCAACAATGGCCAGTGTTGTTTGGTAACCTGTGAGGGTAGACTGAATACTTACACAGCAGGAAGATGGTTTACACTCGGGAGGCACAGGCAGGTACATCTCGTGAGTTCAAAGCTAGGCTGCTCTACATAGAGAATTCCAGGCCAGTCAGGACTATACAGTGAGACCCTGTCTCCAATTTTAAAAGAAAAAAAAAGGGGGATAAAGAGAAAAGGAAATAATAAGGGGGAGGGGAGACATGTGGATAAAGAATTTCTCAATCTAAGAACATGTCAGAAATAAGAATTCAGCCAGAATCCATCTGGCTAGGAGCAAAACTCACTAGGCTTTTCTTTATTTTATTTACAGACTAGTTCTAAAAATAATTGCAAAGGAATGGCCCACTTCAGAATTTGGGGTGCTCCAGCTTGATTCGGAGGCTGCCTCCAGAACAGAAGTACAGAACACTTCCTTTTAATGTGTGGTGTTTCTTTGCATCTGAAAATAATGCTTTTTTTTTTTTTTTTTTTTTTACACAGCTTATACAACAATTTTGTATTATGTGTTTCCTGTTTAAATTTGAAAATATGATTGTGTTCAGGCTGTTTATTTACACAGTGAGCTTGCTCAGGTTTTATACACTCGCTGAGCATGCTCAGGTTTTACACACACAGCTTGCTCAGGTTTTACACATACACTGAGCTTGCTCAGGTTTTACACACACACTGAGCTTGCTCAGGTTTTTACACACACACTGAGCTTGCTCAAGCTTTTTCCCTCCACATATATAGCAAGAGCTTGCCGTACATGCTCCTAGCAGCATTGGTTATTTATTCTGCCTGACATTAAATAATTACTCTTATCTAGCCCGCTGTGACAGCCACTGCCTTGGCACTTTAGTTAGGTATGGACGGTTGAAAGGGGCTCAGCAGTATGAATTATGTGTTTACCACTGTGACCCTCACACCATTTAATTAACTTCAGTACGAGTGTATTGCACCCTAATCTTTGAAATGATGGCTGCAGAAGAGAGACCTTTTGTTTTATCTTCAAACATGAGAACAGCGGCAATGTCTGCTTCATATTTAAGGCATGTTTAATGTTCCCACCAGTGTGGTGACTTCTTGCCACTGTTTATTTCAAATAAAGGCAGTTATTTTAGCGATTCTATTGGGTGCATAATTGTATCTGTTCTTTCCTTGTTGTCTTTGAGACAGCCTCACTTTGTGGTCCAGGGTCTCCTGCTTCAGCCTCCTGAGTGCTGGAATTATGGCCGGGTCACTGCCCAGCATTGTGTTTGTGTGTGTACTTTGCACTTGTCTGATTGCTAACGACATCAGCATTTTCCATCTGTTGTTAGAATTTGTATATATTTTGTGAGGATTTGGATTTTTGAGGCAATCTCTCTGTGTATCTTGTTTGGCTTGACCTGGCTGGCTTTGAGCATCCTGTCCTCCTGCCCCAGTTTCTGCCCTGCAAGTTCTGGGCAGTAGTAGGGTGTTACCACATGATGAGTTGTTGTATGTCGATCATTGGTGGCATGTGCCTTTTGTGCTGATCCTAAAGCTTGAGTTGTCTTTCTTCTGGAATGTTCTGGCTTCTCTCAACATTAAGGTCTATAATCTATCTGGTGTTCGTTATAAGCATTCGTGATTCATCTTTTCCGTTGTCGCATCTCCATTTCTTGACAGAAGTGTTTTTTCCCATTTAATTACTTTGGCTCCTTTGTCAAAAATTAATGGGCCGTATGCATGTGGGCCTCTCTGAGCACACACTTTGTTCTGCTGATCTATGCGCCTGTCTTTAGGCCAGGAGGACACCGTCTTTATAAATGTTGAGTCCTCTTACTTGTTCAAACTATTTAGGCTCTTTCAGTTCCACTTACTTAAAATTTTAAAGGCGTGTGCACTTCTGCACTCAGGCCCCTGTGGTGCTGATGAGGGTGTGTGAGTCCATCCCATCCCGTGCATGCCTCCTCATTCATTGTGATTGTAGCACATCTCATGGATTCAGGTGGGTACATGGCACAAGTCCCACTTGCTCTCTGTTGTGTACCAAAACAAGTCTGTTTAGTTCATGAGTGGCATCTCCTTCACAGTTTCAGAGTCAGTAAATGATAAATTCAGAACAAGTTTGTTGGTATAAAATGAAAGTTTAAAACTAAAAAAGGAGTTGGTAAAGTGTCTGTCCTTTGAGCATGGGGACCAGAGGGTTTTATTTAAATTAAAACAATCTTATTTTATATACCAACCCCAGTTCCCTCTCCCTCTCATGTCCCCACTGACCCCCCCCCATCCCAACCCCATTCACTCCCCAGGGAGGGCGAGGCCCCCCTATGAAGGATCATCGAAGTCTGTCACATCATTTGGGGCAGGACCTAGGCCCTCCCCCATGTATCCAGGCTGAGAGAGTAGCCCTGCATATGGGATGGGCTCCCAAAGTCCATCCATACACTAGGGATAAATACTTGGTCCGCCCCGCTGCCAGAGCCCTCATAGACTGCCCAGGCTTCCCAACTGACACCCATGTTCAAGGGATCTAGTTCAAGACCAGAGTTTTAAAATGTGGTATTTGTTCAGTATCCAGACAGTTACACATGCACACGCGCGCGCGCACACACACACACACACACACACACACACACACAAACCCCCATCATCATTCTTGCCTACATCTGTGTCCATCCACATTGCAAAGCTGGGCCTGGGGCTGTGGCGTGATCTTGTTTTAAAGCAGGGAATGCAGAGGATGCCACTGTCCGCCTAAAGTGACTCTCTGCAAGGAGGTGGGGAAGTTAACTGAGAAGGTTCCATGCCAGAAAGGCGCTGGAACATTCCTGAGCCTTCAGGAAAGCCTGGCTTTGCCCTTAGCAGGTGTGCTTTGGTGGCCCTGCTCCGGGTTCACTGCTGGACCCGTGCAGGTTGTTCTTATCTACAGTGCCAGGGCACTGAAGGCCAGCAGCCACGACAGAGAAAAAGAACCACTGGATGTCATGTTCACACTAGCCTGTTCTCACCTTTCATTGTAGGTGAAGCCTTGAAAGGAAAGATCACAGTTCACAAGAATAAGAAGGATCCTCGGTCCCTCATTGTGACCCTGACCTTGAACAGCTCAACTCAGACTTACAGTCTCCAGTGATGATCATGGTCTCCAGCTGCCACAAAACCGGAAGCACACACAACCCTGCGTCTTCAAAGTGGGCTGGGGTGGTCAGGGGGAGGGGCAGGCTCCACGGGGCTGCAGCTCCTGGGTAGTAAGGATAAATGGAGTGCGGAGCTCCGTGGAGGATTGTTCCATCCTACTGCTTCTGCTGGGTAGATCCTAGTCCAAGAAGCCTGCTTGGCAGATTAGCTTACAGGAGCCCTTCTGCTAGACTGAGACTCATTTAAATTGGCTTGCTTTGGAATAGTTGTAGTTCTGGATTTATATGTAATGTTTCTTACTATAAATTTTGTCTTTAATAAGAACAGCACAAAGCAGGTTTTCTTGTAGACTTCCACTCTGGAGGAACAGTTTTTAGTTACACTCCTTACTGTAATATCAGGGTATCTCAGTGCTAGAGAGCCAGTGCACCGGGCAGAGCCATGGCTGCTGCACATCCTGTGTGCAGAGGCTGAGTGGCCCTCTCTAGCCATAGACAACACTGCGGGGGAGTCTAATCCAGTACTTACCGTAGGCCTGATAGACTCCTCTTAAATGCTGCCTTTCGGACCAGGTTTGTGTGCCAGGGTCACACATACATCTGCTAATAGGAAAAAAAAATCAAGTTATTCAGGTTGAAAGAATGAAAATACTCAATAAAATGTATAACTATTGAAAAAGTGAAAGCTTCCTCATCACACTGATTTCTGTTGTGAGGTCACAAGCATTTAACAAGTCAAGGAGGGAGTCAGTTTCAAGAAAATAGTGACTCCAGCAGGCAAGCCAGGCATGTTCTTTGTCCAAAGCAGACGTCAGCAGGAACTCAGGCTAGCTGCAAATCTCAGTGAGATCTTAGTGTCCTTCCTAAGCCTGACTCCTTTCCCGAGGTGCCGGTTCTGTGAATACAGTCGAGGTGTTCGGGTCAGGGCCTCAGTAAGTGATGGGGACACTGTTGTCATTACTCATTGAAGCTCTTCCCAGGGACGTGGAAGGGGCGTCCAGCCTGAGCAGGCTGCCTCCTACCAAGCACGAGAAGGGTAAGACGATTATAGCAGAAAGGAATGGACTGCAGTGGAGGGGAGAGAGCCCATTGAGTCTGTGTTGTGTTTTGTTTCACAGTATTGGAATATAACCCAGGGCCCCGCCCATAATAGGGAAGCACTGAACTATGCCCCAACCTTCTTTTCCTGTTTTTTATTTCTTCCCTTTCAGTGAACAAATATTTTCTACTATTTCAAAAATTATTTCTCAGAAATTATCCCTCCTGCCAAGTATGGTTGTGCACACCTTTAATCCCAGCGCTCAGGAGGTAGAGGCAGGGGGATTTTCATTATGAGTTTAAGGCCAGCCTGATTACTTGGTGACACTGGCTCCAAGCTGGGGGTTTGTGGCAAAGGATGAGGAAGTGGAGGGTTTATTAGGGGCAGGATGGGGGGGCTTTACTGTTTTCCTTGGACATGCTTGTTTTGAAACTGGGGTCCGTTGTCTCTTTGCAAGCCCTGGGTGTCGGGTTGGGCAGCCACTTTGCTGCGGTTTCCACATAGCTGGTTTCTGGGAACTTTGAGTTCAGTTTAGGCCCTAGACTTTTGGGGTGTGTTAAGGGGAGTGTTCCTTAGGGAAAGGTTGCCTGGGGCTTTTTTGTTTGTTTGTTTGTTTCTTTTTGTTTTGTTTTTTGTTTGATTCTCATGTAACCCATGCCAACTTTCAACTTGTTTTTTTTTTTAGCCAAGAATCATATTTTATCCAAGGATGATCCTCTTGCATTCACCTCCTCCTAAGTAGTCTGTCTGTTTTCGGATCGCCTTCTGGAATTAACCTATGGGTCCCACTCGTACCCGCCCCTTAGGGTAGAAGACCTGGGGTCTCGTGTGACGTTACATATGTAGGATCCGTCTCAGGCTCTGAGGCCCCTCTTTCTGCCAGGAGTGTTACACTACTGCTAACTGTTTTTAACCAGAGGATAGCAAGACACGCCAGCCCTCCAACGCCATCACGGAGACCAGGCCTAAGTCATTTGTAAAGAGTGCCTGTAGCTCACAAAGCTACAGATGCGGTCTGTGCTTGCTCTCTCCCCAAAGGGGGACCAGTCTGATGAGAGGCGAGGTCAAAGACTGCCTGGTGAGTGCACACTGAGGTCAGCCACTTTGGTCCAGTGCCCTTAGGATGCCGCCATCTTTATTTGAATTCCCTACCATTGCTCATTACCCCCATGTCAGAGTTTGGTAATGGTGATGTGGCTCCCACAGCTAGCGTTACTTCCCTGCCCCCATGTCCAGTAGGCTCCCCAGCTGTGGGCTTTCCATTGTTGTGGAAACAGGTTAACTCAATGACAGTGTTTAGAGACCAGGTTTCCTCAGTTGAGACTGGGGTGAAATCTGGGTGAAGTAATTTGAGGTAAGGTTTATCTGTGTAGAAAAGCTACTTGAGAAAGGAATAAACGTATTTGTAGTGGCAGCAGCTGCCTCTTAGGACTCACGACTGGTCACTGCAGAGGAGGCAGGTGCAGCAGGATGGGTTACAAGGACTTTGCTTTTTAAAATGGAAAACGTGGAGGAGTGAAGCAATCCGAGGTCCAGGAGGTCCATCTGTGAGGATGGGAGGTAATTTTTGCACTCATCTACTTTAACCATGTCTAAACAGTTAACGTTACTGCTGTTTAAAGATGCAGGAAACTGCAACTTTGTAGCTCATTTGTCCCTTTAGTTTAGAAAGCTCCAAGAGGATCAGCAGACACCCTGGTAGGCAACAGCCAAGCGTAGTTGCATGCTGGTGATCCTAGTGCTCAGACACCGAGGCAGGAGGGTTGCAAGTTTAAGGCCAGCCTGGGCTACGTTAATGATGCGGCTTGACATACTCCCCAAGGCTGGCATTTGTCTTTGGTCCAGCTGGTAGTGCTGTTTTATGAAGTCGGAGATGCTTCAGGTGGGACAAGATCTGGAAGTAGGTCTCTGAGGCTGTGTTCTTGCAGAGACTTTTTGTTGTTGCTGGGTTTTATTCTCCTTTTGGGGTTTTTTTTTTTTTTTTTTTTTTTTTTTTTTTTAAGACAGCGCTTCTCTATAGCTATGAAGCCTGTCCTCGAATTCTCTTGTAGACAAGGCTGGACTCAACAAAGATCCGCCTGCCTCTGTCTCCCGAGTGCTGGAACTAAAGGCGTGTGCCACCATCGCCAGGCCCCTTGCAGAGACCTTACCCAGGGCTCCTTCCTTGCGGCCAGGTCCTTGCAGAGACTCCCTATGAGCACATGGGGCCAAATGACAGATGCTGACCTTTTGAAACCGAACCAAAAACAGCTCCCAGGCAGTCTTGGTGGTACACGCCTTTAATTGCAGCACTTAGGTGGATGGCAGAGGCAGGTAGATCTCTCTGAATTCCAAACCAACCTGGTTTTCAGGCCAGCCAGAGCTACCCAAAAAACCCTGTCTCAAAAGAGAAAACAGCAGCAGCGAAACAGGATTCCTCCCCGACTTTTCTCAGAACGGTGAGAAAAGTCATTACACATAGCAGAATTTCGACAGACTAAACAGAAATGTGTCAGCAGCGGTACCAGACACTTGGGGTGGCACAGCCTCGAAGTGACTCAGCAGAGGGATGACCTCAGAGCCTTAGGGAATCGTCAGGGGTCTCACTGACCTCCGGACCTCTAAGAGGGGCTCAGGGACTTAGTCATGTTAGCGGTGTTACCCATCCTGCTCTGCTGTTTGCTGGCGCCTCAGACGCTGGGCCAGGATAGTCCGCGTGCCCTTGCCCACCTGTCTGCGGGGCTGTGTTGCCTTGAGGCCTGTCTGGTTTTTAACCTCGTCATGATTGTTAGTGTCTCCTTGCTTTAAAGTGAAACTTTCCCAGCAGAATGATAAATAAGCAGTTTCAAAATATCTTTACAATTCATTTGACCTTCCGAATACATTTTTCATATATTGTCTGAGCATCTTGGCTGATAGGAAGTAATTCATATTCCTCTAGGTCCAGATTGTAGCTGAACAATACATAAAAATGTTCTGTCAGTGAATTCATGTGATTATTGAAAGTTCACAGTAAAAAAAGAAGGCAACTAACTTACAGGGTATTCTCTGCTTGGAATATGCATTCAATAAAAGCCAAGTCTCCATGATAACTTGCCATGGGAATGTTAAACCAAAAGTTAACTTGGGATGAGCCCAATTTATTTATTTATTCATTTAAGATTTTTATTTACTCTGTGTATGTGTATGGGTGTTTCCCTGTACCACTTGCCTTCCTGGTACCTGAGGGGCAGAAGGAGGGCATCCGAGCCCTGGAAACGGAACTGTAGGTGTTTGCGAACTACCATGCAGCTGATTGAGTTCATGGAGACAGAACTCCAAAATAGTAGCATTTGAAATGGTGTTGAATAGTGTTGATAATAGTGCACCATTTAGCCATCAGCTGGAATGTGGAGGCCCGAGAACTTACCTAGAAAGATCACTGATTCTCAAAGTCTACTAAACACACTCCTGATGAGACCCCGGCCTCACAGGCCATGCAGAACAGAGCTGTTGCTGGCGGTGAATGACTTGCCTCTTGCCCTGTTTGCAGCTGCACCGATGGCACAGAGCAGCCATGGGGAAGTGGCCGGTCCCCAGCAAAAGGCTGTGTCACCACAGTGTGTGATCTCTTTATATCAAGTGTGGGTATCTTTTTTATCACGAGCATTTCATTTTGTGTGAGGGAGGAGAGGGAGCACACATGTGGAAATCAGACGATGATTATTACCTAGTCTCCTATATTTTGAGCTGGGCATGGTGGCACATGCCTGTAATCCTAGGACTTAGGATCCAGAGGCTGGTGGATCTCTGTGAGTTCAAGGCCAACCTGCTGTGGAGTTTCAGGCTAACCAGCACCCCTTCACACACTCAGCATGATACTAACACGTGTTTGCCATGTGCTACAACCAGTACCTGTGTCCAGGGAAGCCGCCTGCACTGTGGCATTGTGAAGCAATTCATCTTTTTAGTACATCACTTTTACTTGAGAGAATGACTCACAAACCATGACAAAACAGAAGGAAGTGTTCCTTACAAAGGAATGGGAATGCTCCAG